TGCACAAAATATTATTTTGTGGACATTATTAAAATGTTTTTTGGTTCCCACAAAAAAGTAAATCAAACGTGATGGCACATATTTCAACAATGTCATGGACCTACATAAAAAGCTACGCATTTATGTAAACATGACCCCCACAACCTTGGCTATTTATTTCTTCCCCTTTTGCCTATTTTTTGCCTTCAAGAGTTCACAATGTGGTCATCTGTCTGTCCCACTCTCGCCATCAAAGTTGAATTATTTTATTTTCTTGGAAGTTTTTGAAGTTGTTCACATTTTTTGCCAAACTCAAAAAACAAATGGCAAATGATGTAGGCCCGAGTCACCGCGTTGCACTTTCCGTTGCCACCTAGGAAGTTATCGATGAAATTGTGAGGGAAATGGTGGTCGAAACTGATCACAACTTGGTAGAAGCCTATAACAGTGTGGCAAGATATTATTACAACAATTATTACAGAGTCCCTCGAAATACGTCAATACTTTCGGGATGTTTATGGATGTTTGAGTTATTTAACGGCCACCAGGGCTATAGCGACCCCGGTCTTTTTCCATTTGATTATTGTATCCGGACTTAGGTTTCGTAGATTCTGTCATTGTATAATGGTTGTTGTTGTCCTTTATTTTCTCATTTGGAATGGATTGAAGAAGACTACCTTTAGTTACTAGTTGTTATTTATTGGTACATGTAAACATTCAAGCCTAGGGCTTTTCTTGTATTGAGATTAGAACTCATATTTTTGAATCCAAGTGTTGGCTTGGAAAGATGTAAGCCTGTAGGGCGTTTGATTCGATGTTACATGTAATGCTTCATTTAGTAATACTCTGATGAATGAATTAATTAATTGTCTTCTTTAATTAATGCATGTCAATGATATATTTAATGGGTTAATTTTGGGGGCGTTACAAGGGCCGGTTTGAAGATAATGTCCATATGTCACAACCAATGTTGTTGTTGTTATGTGATGCGCCTCATAGTTTCGGATTGACGTTACCAGAGCGGGAGCATAGCGTTTCGCTGGAAGAGAAGGTAGCCATTTTTATTTGTGCGTTGCAGGGTCTATCCTGGAAACATTTGCAAGAACGGTTCCAACACTCAAAGGAGACATTGTCACGCAATTTTCATGAGGTAATGCAAGTTATGATACCGTTTACATCGGTTCATAGTAGGAGTCTTATGCCCGAACAAGTACAACAAGGGGGCCATCCACATTTACGGTCACAGCAGTGGTACCGGCCATTCAAGGTGACAATTTCCATTTTTTACCAAATTTTTTAAAGCTTACAAAAAAAGCATGATGAGGCCAAAATAATTTATTCAAAAAGAGTTGAAGTTAGCTTGTATATTTGATTTTAAGATAAATTATATTAACATCTGTCAAATAATGAACAAATTACCGTTAAACGTGTCAACTTTAAAGAATTATTTTCTTTTCTTCACAGTAGTTGTAATTTTGATGGTATTAATAGATGTTCACCTTATTATATTATGGTTACATATTTTACATTTCAAACTTTGTTTAACAATAGTTACAAGTTAGGTAAATTATAAATATACCTGATGGTATTATATTTTATTAATAAACTGTTTAAGTAACAGATGTGCAATGGTATTATCAACTAACTAACTTTTATATTTTTAAAACAGAACAATATAATTTTATAAAGTTGAAAGATTAATAATTGTTTGTCTTTTTATTGGGAGAGGTTTTTCTCAAGTCAAAAACCAAGTACAGAATAATGTTGGGCATCTATAGACTAATCATGGAGAGCTTACATTGATTGTGCAAACTAGTGAATATATAGCGCATGTTGAGTACTTACATTTCAAATTTGTTATTTTTTGGTGCGTTGAGTAGGACTGCATCAGTGCATTGGACGGGACGCACGTGATGGTTCGTGTCTCACAGGATTACGACACATCATACTATGGCCAGAAAGGCGTGCCGACATAGAATATAATTGTTGTATGCGACTTTGATTTGTGCTTCACATTTGTCTCTGCCGGTTGGGATAGGAGCATGCACGACAGCCGGGTTTTGCACTACGTGACAACCGAAGATAAACATAGCTTCCCGCACCCCGCACCAGGTACAAAATATTAAATCGAAATATGAATATGTACAAACTATAAATATAAAAAATTTCAATAAAGTATTTTGTTGGCTACAAAATTGTGAAAATTATTGTCTTTTTTTTATATTGTCAACAAACGCAGTTGTCTAATGTAGTTTATTTCCCAAAATTCAAAATTTTTGCAAACAACTTTAAAAAATGAAACAAATGAAAATGAAAAGTTTTCTAAAATAATGAACTGGTACATAAGAATGTGAAAATGAAAATGAGATGTGATAATTTATTATTTAGAATTTCTTTCAAAAGTACTCAAAATATAAATGTTGTTAATGAATTAGAAAGTAATTAGAAATATGTTTGCGTAATTGGAATTATAGTTGTTCAGAACAAAAGAACTTCACAATGAAATTATAATTAAAAACAAAATTGGGATGAGAACAATTTTTATAATGAAAATGTAATTGTCATTAAAAAAAAATATTATAATTCACAAACAATGCTGTAATTGGGAATATAATTTTTTAGAACAAAAGGAATTGGGAGAAGGAGTAATTGAAAACAAAATTGGGATAAAATTAATTTAGAAATGGAGAAATTATTCAACAAAAGAATTAGTTATTTAAAAAAAACATTACGAACCAATGCAAGTTAATTGAAGAATAATTTAAGTGGTACAAAATACTGTCAAATTGAAAATGAAATGAAACAAATTTTGCAGGAAAATACTATTTGGTGGATAGTGCTTACAGCAACAAGACAGGGTACCTAGCCCCCTACAAGGGGTATAGGTATCACCAAAATGCCCATCGAAATCGAACACCGCAGAATCAGTTCGAAATGTTCAACAAGGCACATTCGTCACTGCGTAGTTGTATTGAGCGGACATTCGGTGCCTGGAAGGCTAGGTGGGGGGCATTGCGGAATATGCAGAAGTTAAGTTTTTCTAATCAAGTTACGTTTGTATGTGCATCGATGGCATTACATAACTTCATACGCCAACATAGTGAACTTGATGAGGTCATGATGCGTAACCCAGACCGTGACGATTACGTGGCCCCCCAAATGCCCTACCACGATGAATACACACGGGTTGTTGATGTGATGGAGGAAGAGGACTCGGACCCTGCAATGGCCGCAGTAAGGGTGAACATTACTAATGTTCAACAAGGCACATTCGTCACTGCGTAGTTGTATTGAGCGGACATTCGGTGCCTGGAAGGCTAGGTGGGGGGCATTGCGGAATATGCAGAAGTTAAGTTTTTCTAATCAAGTTACATTTGTATGTGCATCGATGGCGTTACATAACTTCATACGCCGACATAGTGAACTTGATGAGGTCATGATGCGTAACCCAGACCGTGACGATTATGTGGCCCCCCAAATGCCCGACCACGACGAATACACACGGGTTGCTGATGTGATGGAGGAAGAGGACTCGGACCCTGCAATGGCCGCAGTAAGGGTGAACATTACTAACGCACTGTTACGGCAAGCACACCGGTAGGGGCGAATTGGAAATACAAGAATATTGATTGAAGGTTGTTAATATCAGTAACTGGAGATTCATATTTGTAAACACGTTTGGTTTTAATAGTCTCATGTGTTTCGGAGCGTAGACATTTTCATAGTAGTGTATTTTTAAAGGAAGTATGTCCACTAATTACCTTTTGCAAACATGGGGGAAGTTTTTGCAATATCTTTTATAATAATTTGTTCTCAACTTGGCTATGCCAAAAAATAATTTCTAGCCATTGGTCAGAAAAAAAACAAAACATAAAAAAAAAAAAAAGGAAATTTGCATGACTGGGCATGTACGTGGTTTATCTTTTTTTATTCACATGTTATAATACGCATTCTCGAAAATACAGAGCAGACCAGTTCCACTCGTTTCCAATTTTCGAACAATAATGGAACAATTGCAACCTCTGCTTGAAAAAAAAAAATAATGAATACAAAGAGGAAAACAACGGAAAAAGATCCACGACAAATGAAAAGAATACCAAAAAATGACAAAAAAAGGAAAACAATAAACCAAAATTAATAATGTTAAAAGAGTAAAAAATAAAATGAAAATGTTAAAAGGAAAATAAAAAAAAAGGAAAAGAATAAAAAAAATTATTGACTAAAAAAGGAAAAGAAAAAACCAAAATTAAAACGAACATAATGGAAAAAAAATATTGAATAAAAAAACGAAAAGAAAAAAAAAATTAATAATGTTAAAAGGAAAAGAATAAAAAAAAAATAATGTTAAAATAAGAAGAATACTGACAGAAATCTAAAAAAAATTATGTTAAAAGAAAAAGAATGGAAACGAATGAAAATGAATACAAAAAATAATAAAAATCTTTAAAAAAGGAAAAAATATTTGTTTTCGTGCTTGTGAAAACAAATAATAATGGTATTAAAAAAATAATTTCTTTCAAAAAGGAAAATAAAAAAAAAAACAAAAATGTTAAAAGGAAAAAAAAATGACTATAAAAGAAATAAAAAATTAATGGTAAAAGGAAAAGAACTCAACATAAAAAGTAATGAATGTAAAAAAAATCAGACCGTTGCACAGTGCTATTTGTTGATTAAAAAAATTTGAATTATTGTCAAAGTACCGTTGCACAGTGTTGGTTGACGAGCAAGAATCCCAAACCACGCGACACGTGTTCCTGTAGTTGTGTCAGGGGGAAGGGTGGGGGAAGGGTAAAAGAGACATTTTACCATGTGTAATAATATTATATTACACATATTTTCATGAAAAGTCAAAAAGTTAATCCAAGTCTATATATTTTTTTCCTAACTTTTTTAATCTAGAAAGACAAAAAATACACTTTTTTGAAACACCCCAAACCAATCCTTAATATAAGTTCGTATGTACAAACAAAAATATTAATCAATGGTTTCTTGTTAAAAAAAAGATTCTTGAACCGCATGAACCAGATGAACCAAATCAAGTTTTTGAATTGGTTCAGAAAAGAACCCCTTCGAGAAGGCTCCCTTCCCCTACAAAAGAACCCCCACCCGAAACGCTTTTTGGAAGGGGAAGGAGAAGAAGAGGGCGGTGCGCTGTTGCTGAACGGGATGATCCTTTTGCCGTATGGTGCTGGTGAGGGCGGTGGTGTCCATGAAGGATGAGGAAGAGGAGTTAATGGTATGGATAGAGATGGATATCAAGATTTGGAGACGGAAATCAAATCTTGGCAACCGGAGGATAGAAATAACGGTGAGTATGTTATTTCACGTTCACAAGATTAATACGCGCTGGCTTTATGGTATATGGTAGGCATTTTGTCATCCATGGAGGAATTTTGACATGATAATTTCGTATTGAATAGCAGCAGATAATTTGGATTTGATTCCCAAATGTCCGAGGGCGAAGTAGGAGTTAAAAGACGAGATCAAATGTGTGGTTGGAAAACTATTCAGCAGGTCCAGAATTGATGCATTACTCGTTCAATATTGGGCGCCCATAACAATAGACGGCCAGGCTATTCTTACAACCCAAAACCAACCATTCGCTCTTAGTAAAATTTATAAAGGACTGTGTTGGTAAAGGATGATCTCTAAACACTATAAATTTTACGTGGATGGGGAGACTACTGAACAACAACTTGGGCTTCCTGGCCGTGTATTCAAGCATCAATTGGTTGGGTCCTCTCCAAATGTCGAGTATTACTCTAACAAAGAGTATCCACACCGCAAACATGCTTTTTGTTGCCAAATTAGAGCAGCTTTGGCTTTGCCCGTGTTTGAACCCACTGACCATACATGTGTCGGTGTACTTGAGCTACTGTTTACCACCAGAGATGCATTCCTAATTTTTTTGGAGGAAGGTTGTGCCTATGACGCTTTTCTTGTTTGTCCCTATCCTCTCCCACAAAATTGCCATATTCACTCTCTTGTTATTCTCTCATTTTTTTATTTTTTATTTTTTTTAAAAAAAATACAAAATTTCTGTAAGCATCTTCTGATGATGTTTCATTTCTTCATGAATATGTAATCATGCTTCTTTTCTCCATATATTGTCTCAGTACTTCTTAAAATATAATGAACACTAGCAGTGGCAGGAAGCCAAATCCTTTAGGAGGCCTAATGCAAAATTTTGTGGTTGACTTGAAGATGCTCTTCACTTTCAATCATCTTGCCCTTTGAAGTTTGGACTAATCATCTTTTAGCCTCTTAGGACTGAACATAATGCATTTATGTTGTCATTGACATGATTATCATTCCCCTGCAGGGGCTAGATCTGAAATGTTTAAATCTATGGGAACACCCGTTCATGGAATTAAGTGGGCAAACTGTATGTAATGCAATGTCATATCTAGTATTTTTGCTTCTTTTGTAAATATGATGAGGAATATGTTCTCACAGACGAATACTTACAAACCAGATTCAGGACAAAAATGAAGCAGCTCTTACAGATGAAATCTTGGATGTGCTGAAACTAGTGTTGGAAGTTCACGAATTACCTTTGGCTCAGATATGACGAACATACAGGGTTTGCAGATCTCTTCTCAAGAATGGGGTCTTTGGTTTGAGCCGCCAGAGAGGACTATCCTCTCTGATGGAGGAAAATGGTGATATTTTTTTTAGGGCATGTGGGCATCATCACTTTAGAAAGGGTATGGGGGTTGTTGGGACGGCACTTAAGTCCCTTAATTTGGTATTCTGAGCCGATGTAACCCAATTCAGCATAACAGAATACCCCGTGACACACTATGCTCGAGAGTTTGGATTAAGTGGTTGTGGTTGTTTCTCAGTATGCTTGTGGAGTAGTAACCCTGGAGATGACATTTATGTGTTAGAGTTCCTTTTGCCGGTGAACAACAAAGTCGGTGGAAATGTAATGACCTCATTAATGAAGGAGATATTGGGAACAATGAAGAAAAAAATCCAATGTTTTAAGCTTGCTTCTGGAGAAGAACTGGGGGAAGAATTAATTGTTGAAGTTATTGATTTTTAGTATGGTGAGAAAAAAATTCAAACTTTGAAGCTTTCTTCTGGAGAAGAGCTGGGGGAAGAATTTTCTAAAGTAACTGATTTTCACAATGGTGAAAAACTTAATTCTGTTCAAATATCCCAAACTAGGCCTGAACCATTACAAAATGGAGCAGATTTGATGGAGCTGGAGTCATCAGATCAACAATCAATGGATGCCGTAAACAATGAAAGCAATGTCATCAGTGCGGAACGAAGCAACAGTACTTGTTCACAGGAAAAAGGAACAAGAAAGAAACTAAAAAGAAAGCAGAATCCAACTGGTGGTAAAATTGAAATTTTTTTGGAGGATATATTACAAACTTCACAAATGAGAATCGAGGATGCTGCGAAGAGCCTCCATGGTCAGCTTACACTCACAGTAATTTAAATATAATGTTTGTGATCTTGCTTGCTATTTTCAACTAGACACCCGACAGACATTTCTTGTGGACAAATATTTGAGCTTTTTGCATTAGCAAAGAGAAAGCCATTTCTTTTGTATGGATTATTCTATTCTTTTTTTTTTTTCTTTTTTTTTTTTTTTTCTTTTTTGCAGTTAGCATATCTACATTGAAGCGCGCGTTTGTAGGAAGTTTGGTATCCCAAGGTGATCACCTCACCATATAAACCAACTAAACAAGAACGGTGGGAATTATGTTCAAATATCCCCAACTACTGGATCTCTGCCCAGGCTTGAACCCTTACAAAAGGAGGGTGACATGATGCAACTGAAGTCATCGGATCAACAATCAATGGATGCCATAAACATTACGAATGTTGTCAGTGCAGAACAAAGCAGCATTGTTGTCACGGATCCGGGGGTGCTGCTGTGAGCCGAAACGACGTCGTTTCATGCATATTCAACCCAAAAAAAAAGAAAAAAAAAAAGAAAGGAAAGTTCGGGTTTTAAGAGGCTTGAACCCAGACAAGTTGGAAAGCAAAAGAGACCTCAACCACTGTGCGACTGACTCTCCTCTTTGACATTGTGGATATATATTATATTTATTACAATCTTTATTCCAGCATTAAAAAAAAATTGACAACCTGCTCTTACTACCATCTCTATTCCAGCATAAAAAAAAAAAATTTACAATCTGCTATTACTCCAATCTGTGTTTCAGTATTAAAAAAATATTTACAATTTGCTATTATTACAATCTGTATTCTTGCAAAAAAAATAAAATAAATTACAATCTGCAGCCATAATAAAGCTTACAAAATAAAACACAAATAAAATAAAACATAATAACAGTGGAAAAGATTTATTTTGTTTAATTTAAATATTCAAAAAATTATTTTAACAAACAAATTTAAATAATTTAAATATTCAAAAAATAAAAATAATTTAAAATGTTAATATTTTAAATTTAAAAACAACTTTACACTCAAATCGTAAACAAACACGTAAAATAAAACTCAATTAATAAATTATTGTTAATAATTTATGTATTTTAAGTTCTTTTTTTTTTTTGCAAATATTTTTTCATGTGTTTTTTATTTTTATTTTTATTTTCGGTGAAATGATAAAAAGTGAGGTTTTATTTTATTAGGATGTGTATTTTAAATAATTTAATTTTAATTTACTTTTAAATATTTAATTTAATTTAATTTAATTTAATTTGAATTTTATTTTAATTTTAATTTTAATGTTATTTTAAATATTTAAATAATGTAAATAATCTAACAAATTTATTTTGCAAAAAATTTAAATATTCAAAAAATTATTTTAACAAAAAAATTTTAAAATTTTAAATATTTTGTTTTAAATTTAAATAATTTAAAATGTTAATATTTTAAATTTAAAAACAACTTTACACTCAAATCGTAAACAAACACGTAAAATAAAACTCAATTAATAAATTATTTTTAAAACTCATAA